GAAAAGGAGGAAAAGGGGGAAAAGGGGGAAATGGTGTTGGTGAACACGAATCAAGAGATTCATTTTTTGACTATAACACGTAATGCCGTGAGACTGTCTGAACAGCAGTTACATTATTAAAGGACAAAAGGAGAACATAGCCAAACATTGCTCAGGACTTCTAGAAAACATTATATTTCACACCAATGTTTACACTGAAGAAATCAATGTTAGTTTAGTTTGTAGGGCATTTGGTTAGTGTGAGGTGTTTTTTAGCTTACAATGTTTCTGTAGATATCTCTTCTAGATGCGTTGGTTAAAAAAGATATTGTAAAATCTGACGGTACCTTTGGGTTGTACTCTGCATTTCTGGCTTGCAGGGCGATGAACTTGAGATCCAGAGGACAGCACAGGTTGACTGTGGAGACGATGTTCCTGCAGACACACGGAGACACCAGCATGTCACTCGATCTGAAGGCAGCAGAACACTTAAAACTTGAAAGTAGAAACCGTTTGTACAGACCAAAACCGAATCAGACTTTTCCTGCAATGGCAATAAAAACAAGGTTAAAAAGCCATTAGTTTCTCTTTTGTCTGTCGCCATCCTGGTTTTGAACAGTCGCCATCTTGTTTGTGTGGAACCGGTAGAGAAACAGGATGGCTGATCCCAACCTAGTTCTACTTTCATGAATTTAAAACACATTCAATTAGAAAATAACACTAAAAATGTGCAGACCGAAAAACCTTGTGGGAGCAAAGCCAAATCACATGGTAGCCGAGTCATAAAACCTACGTCTTTGTCATCAAATTTGAATTTAAATGGGAACATATATTACAACATGGTTCTGAATAGAAGAAGACTGAAGATTAAGACCACACACTTGTCAGGAAAATGTTTAATGAGGTAATAAACCAAGTGAGAAGTCGTATCATTTCCTCATAGACTGTATATATAAAGACTTCTATACAATCTCAATATGATTGGAGTCGCCCCCTGCTGGATATAAGAGAGAATGCAAGGTTTAAAGCACTTAACGTGACTCTGTATTGAAAAATACCTGAAACTAGCAATTGAGACCATAACCTTGTCAGGAACTGTTTTAATGAGGTAATAAACCAAGTGAGAAGTAGGGTCATTTTCTCATAGACTTCTATACAATCTCAATATGATTGGAGTCGCCCCCTGCTGGATATAAGAGAGAATGCGCTTCAGAACCGTAACTAGTACAGTCAAAGTATCAGTACTATGTTCCTATGTTCATCAGTGACTTACGGTAACAGCTCATTCTCTCATAGACTTCTATACAATCTAAATCTAATTGGATCTTCGTTATCAGTGACTTACTGTAGCTGTGGGATGATTCCTGAGTTCTCAGTTACAGGGGTCATGGGGGTCATTGGGGTCATGGGGGTCATGGGGTAGAAAGCACTGGTCTCCAGCCCCGAAACGGACGCCTCCTGCTGGGGGTTTTCTTGTGTTTCCAGTGTGGCAGCCTGGGAGTTGAAGTCCAAACCGACACCACTGTCCCGAGAGACATTCAGAGCTGAAGTCTGACTGTCATCTGGAACAAAACACACAACAGGGCTTCTTTAATTCAAAGTTAAAAAAAACACATTGTTTATCTGTTCTCTATACAGAGCGCTGCAGGGATGACTTGTTTTTGTCGGCAGATATCAATGTTACTGGTTCCCTAACAAAAAGCCAGTGGGATTTTTCTATTGGATTATTGCAGCAAAAAAGCTTTTTATGATAATTGAACGTTTGGTTCAGCAGAATTATCTCCACATATTAACATCACTTTTATGATTTATGAAACTTAAATGCCATCTCCAGAAGTTAAAAGCTAATGTTGGGCTATAAAGGAACTACTACAGCACGGTCACATGACTTCACCACCGCTAAGCTAAAGGTGGCTAATGTTGGGCTATAAAGGAACTACAGCACGGTCACATGACTTCACCACCGCTAAGCTAAAGGTGGCTAATGTTGGGCTATAAAGGAACTACAGCACGGTCACATGACTTCACCACCGCTAAGCTAAAGGTGGCTAATGTTGGGCTATAAAGGAACTACAGCACGGTCACATGACTTCACCACCGCTAAGCTAAAGGTGGCTAATGTTGGGCTATAAAGGAACTACAGCACGGTCACATGACTTCACGTCACCACCGCTAAGCTAAAGGTGGCTAATGTTGGGCTATAAAGGAACTACAGCACGGTCACATGACTTCACCACCGCTAAGCTAAAGGTGGCTAATGTTGGGCTATAAAGGAACTACAGCACGGTCACATGACTTCACCACCGCTAAGCTAAAGGTGGCTAATGTTGGACTATAAAGGAACTACAGCACGGTCACATGACTTCACCACCGCTAAGCTAAAGGTGGCTAATGTTGGGCTATAAAGGAACTAAAGCACGGTCACATGACTTGACGTCACCACCGCTAAGCTAAAGGTGGCTAATGTTGAGCGTGATGACGTTTAGTTGTTTCATTCAGACACGTTTTTTTTATTCACCAATGGGGTATTTACTGACGTATTTCATGTCATAGAACAAATCGTAAAATCTCTTCAGCTTGTGTTAACCACAGACCTTATTTCTGACATCTAACCAAAAATGCTAACATGCCAACTCATTTCCCAGGTTTTAGGACTCATTCCTGAACTACAAATGTGTTCCCGTGCCGTCATACTTATGTTTGCATGACTGGGGTCCTGCGTGCTGAGCTCATCTGGCAGGAAGCTGAGGTCCAGATCCTCCGCTGGCTTCACCTTCAGCAGGGGGGCGGAGGCGTCCGGACCCTCGAGGCCCAGATCATCCTCCAAGAGGAAGTCCTCCTGCAGAAAGTGATTTTATATAAATTGTACGACATTTACGTAAAACCTCCGACAATTATTCAGTGGAGGCACAGACTTCAACAGGTCTACACGATGGAAAAGATGACGGCAAGTCTACAAATGAGAATGGACTCCTTTATCAAAAGGTGGAACGGTGTTAAAAGATACCTGGATGTCTAGCTAGTTGAAAAGGGTTGTTTTAACTTAATTGAGTTTCAAAAGAACATTATGGAAAATGTCCCTGTGTAACCGATCCTGCAAAAAATGTCCCTCCTTGTGTAAAATGCTTTTTAAAATGAAAATAAACAGTTCAAAAATAATAGAAAATTGTACGACATTTTTCACTCCTGCACAGATGGGCTTTCAGGTAAACTTCTAAAAATGTAAATACAATTTCTCAGCTCTCACATTGCAGGATAAGCTATTTTAGTGGAGGAAATGTAAGTCCATCACTTTTTTTATTTATGGAGTTTTGGCATAGTCACATTTAAACTTGGAAACTAAGAATTTCAGAATCCAAATGAAGCTCAGCGCAAGTTCAACCAGGAAGATCATCTTTACTCATTAATTTCCTATGTCTATGTTCCTACTCTCTCTCCTCTCAATAAGTGATCGGGGGCGTCACTCCCCAGCTTAACCAATCACTTCGCTCTATTCTCACAAGCCTATCATAGCGCTCCGCTAACCCTTTAAAATCAGCTCTCTCCCCTCTGACAGCTGTCATTTCAGGTGACTCGACGCAACCCTCCTCCACCCCTTTTCACCTCCTGTCCCTCTGAGTCCAGGGTCAAGCTAAGCCCCTCCCCTTCAGACCAAACCCAACCATCCATTCACCACCACCAGGGTCAAGCTAAGCCCCTCCCCTTCAGACCAAACCCAACCATCCATTCACCACCACCAGGGTCAAGCTAAGCCCCTCCCCTTCAGACCGACCCCAACTATCCATTCACCACCACCAGGGTTAAGCTAAGCCACTCCCCTTCAGACCGACCCCAACTATCCATTCACCACCACCAGGGTCTAGACCCCGGGGGGTTTCATGGGATCGGTTCTCCCCTCCCGAATGATACTCCTGCACAACGGGGCCTAATCGCCAAAACTCCATCACATTCATTTGTGTACTCCTGGCTATAAATATGTATTCTTATCCAAACCGTCTCTCCTGATTGAATTGTCTTTATTTGTGACGTGAAAAGTTAGAGTCGTACAGAAACTTGAGTGACAGTCAGAGAGGATTTTTTTTAATGTGCTTTTAAAGGTGAAAATTCAAGTTTTTATTTATATATATATATATATATATATATATATATATATAGCTCATATTAGCTTAGTTTGCTCAGATTGTTTTGATGAAATTGTGCATCTTCAATTTAATAAACTTTCAAATCAGATTAAGTACTGTATTAAAAGGTGATGTGTGAAATTGAAAAACTTTTGTTGGCAACAAATCACTGAAACACTATTCAATTATTGTCTTTACTGATTATTTGTGCAACTTAAATTATAAAAACTCCTCTTGTTAGATCTAAATGAAAAGTCACTTCCGTTTCAATGTACTCAAACTCAACAGGTGTTCACTGATTACCTGAACAATTTGATGTTAAATAAACCTTTAGCAGGTGAAAGCAGCAGTATAGCCAATCAAACACGCATATTTCATTTATTTATATACCCCAATACCATAAAGGAAACACATTTTCCTGAAGGGGGTTTTACAGAATTTACAACATAACCTCTTTAGACCCTATAGCAGAGCACGTGCAAAAACTTCCCAAAATCAACCCCCACATTTGAGGTGAAACAAACTCAGAGTATTGCAGACATTTTAAACTTGACTCTTTTTAGTCTGTACTCACTTTTGCAATAGAGTCATCGAAGTAACGCTCCAACGCAAACTCGTCCATGAGTGAAGATCCATGGGATTTGATTCAGGAGCTTCCACAGCTGCATCTAATCATGTACTCATCAACACACACTAACGCAAACACACACACGCACGCACGCACGCACGCACGCACGCACGCACGCACGCACACTTCACCTGAAGAGAAACACACTTCACATTATTAAGTCTTATCATCATGGTGCAGTTCACCCTCCCCTCCTGCAGGGGGAACCGACTCGTCTCAATCACAATAGAAGAAGCTGAGTTCTGCGCATGCGCACCGGATGTAAACAAAGCAGCATGGCACAGTGAAGATGGGAGAGATCTGACAGCAGCGGAATGTATCGGTTATATATTTATATATTTTATTTTGATCCGATATATGATATTATTTGTTTGTGATGACGGAGTAACATAATGGAGTCTGTGAAGAAACGACTGGCTGAGTTTTCTGTGGAGGCTCACGGTGAGAAACATTAATACTACAGTACTACAACGAAGTACTTCTGCTAGTATTACAATGATTACTGCCACTACTCATTGTTACTCCAACTAGTGCAACCTACTTCTTACTATCACTACTACCAGTAACTTACTAGTACTAATAGGTATTAGTAATTAACAACTAACATATTTACTAGTATTATAATCACTAGATTGTAACTAATACTTGCTGCCACTTAAAAATATTTGTTATGAACAAACTAGTGTGTGTGTGTGTGTGTGTGTGTGTGTGTGTGTGTGTGTGTGTGTGTGTGTGTGTGTGTGTGTGTTCCAGGTGACATGAGATTGTAACTAATACTTGCTGCCACTTAAAAATATTTGTTATGAACAAACTACTAAATTAGTAGTATAACGTGTTTTTTTGGCACAAATCTGACTTTGAAATGTAATAATCGATCAATTAATTAACCAATCTAGAACATTTAGGAATTACACTTTTGAGTCTTTGATTTGATCTAAACCTTTTTAAATCCCCATATATAAGTCTATTAACTCTACTTTCTATCACCTGTTTCAACCTAGAGGTCAGGAAAATACTAAGACTGTTATTCAGATACTGGCTGATCAGAAACAAATCTTCATTCTCCTATTGTCCTTCATTATTGATATAATAGATGACTGACGTTTGTTCAGGTTACCATGAAGAAGGCTTTACTGTTTTATTTATACTTCTCTAAAAAAATACTTATTTCTAGAAGACATTTTCACTTAATTCAACAATTGTTTTACTAACTTCCTTCTTGCCTTATTTATATCAGATCAGATTCATCCTCCCAGGGATAGAGACATGTGTGTCCATATGTACTTTAAAGGGGACCTATCATGCAAAATGCACGTGTTGATGTCTTCTCTACATCAACACGTGTCCCGGTGTGTCCCCGGTGTGTCCCCGGTGTGTCCCCGGTGTGTCCCCGGTGTGTCCCCGGTGTGTCCCCGGTGTGTCCCCGGTGTGGTCCCCGGTGGTGTCCCCGGTGTGTCCCCGGTGTGTCCCCGGTGTGTCCCCCGGTGTGTCCCCGGTGGTGTCCCCGGTGTGTCCCCGGTGGTGTCCCCGGTGTGTCCCCGGTGTGTCACCGGTGTGTCCCCGGTGTGGTCCCCGGTGTGTCCCCGGTGTGGTCCCCGGGTGTGTCGGGGAAACTCACCAGCGTCAGAAAATAAAACCCTCTCGTCTTTTCCCTCCGTACCCAAATCTCTAAAAAACGGGGGAACAACGGAGCTGATCCAGATTTGCGTCCGATATGACGTAATATCTGAAATGTGGACCCACGGCCCAATCAGAAACGTTGCTATCAGAAACAATGCCCGACTGTTTTGGACGTAATATGGTCGGTGTTTACATTAGCATGGCTAACACTCAGAGCTAACCTGTACTGGAGAGCATGTGTGTGAAGAAGCAGGAAATAAAAAGGAACTCACCTTGTGGTATAACCGGCAAGAGAGAAAGCCTTTGAGCTCCATACTGTTTCAGAGACAATCCTTGATCATCCATGATATGGCGTTTCATCACGGCAGTATTTAGTTTAGACGGTAGCTGCTTCTTATTAAATATCTTTGCAAGTTTCTTTAGTGTATATATCTCATTTCAACACAAAGAAATTCAAACAAACCTTCACTTAGAGAATTCATTGATTTCTCTGTGCACTTTAGTCTGGAGGTTTTAAAGGTATTTACAAACATAAAGCTGTATTGTATAAAGTGCTGACTCATCACTTTTCTGTCTCTCTTCTGAACTGCTGAGATCAATCAGACTCATTGTTTACTGATTACCTTTCAGATTTGTACCTGAACCGATCAGTGCCGTACCTGGAGGAGCCGCCCGACCCGCTGCACTTCTACCGCGACTGGATTGGTCCAAACAAGCCGTGCATCATCCGCAACGCCTTCAGCCATTGGCCGGCTCTGTCCAGGTGGACGCCAGACTACCTGAGGTGAGGAAGCCCTGCCCACTCTTAGGTCCTTCTTCTTCTTCTGTGGTGTCAGGGTGTGATATATATATATTTTTGTATTTGCACGTTGTTGGCATATACAGTATGTGTCTCCCTGGTCCCCGGCTTGATCTTCAACCTCAGGATCCATGTATTTGTGATCCTCTCCAGAATGGAAGTAGTCATCACATACAGAATACCTTGTATATCAAAATTCTGACTTTTTCTCAAAATCTCCAAATTATGACTTGTTCCTAAATATTATGACTTTTTCCTCAAAATTAAAAAATGTTCTCAAAATTATGACCTTTTTCTCAAAATCTCAAAAATCTGACTTTTCCCTCAAAATTCTGACTTTTTCTAAAAATCTCAAAATTCTAACTTTTCCTCAAAATCTGGAAGTAGTCATCACATACAGAGCATCAAGTAGTTCCTGAACAGTGTCCTTCACATGCTGATATCCAAGAGAGGGAGTTACACAGTCACAAGATGGAGGAATAGAAAGCAGTATTCAATGTTTACTTCAGATTAGCTCCACGTCAGAAATGAGCATGCTTGTCATATGTCTATCTCCATAGAGGCTGAATCATCATGTTAATCACATAGCTATCATATGCCTCAAACAGTCCTGATGCTCTTCTAGGTAATCACACATCCTGTCATGTTCACAGCTACAGGTGGGATACCTTTGTTAGCATGTGTGCTCATAAAGCCCCTTTGTATTGTATTGTTTGCAGGGAGAAGGTGGGGTCAAAGGTCATCAGCGTAGCGGTGACTCCTAACGGTTACGCTGATGCCGTTAACGGCGACCGCTTCGTGATGCCGGAGGAAAGACGCATGAGCTTTTCTTCTGTTCTGGACATCATCGAGGGGAAGGTGAGAGACCCTGCGCTGCCCCCTGCGCTGCCCCCTGCGCTGCCCGCTGCGCTGCCCGCTGCGCTGCCCCCTGCGCTGCCCGCTGCGCTGCCCGCTGCGCTGCCCCCTGCGCTGCCCCCTGCGCTGCCCCCTGCTGGACAACTACTATAGTAACACAACAAATTGTGTGTGTGTGTGTGTGTGTGTGTGTGTGTGTGTGTGTGTGTGTGTGTGTGTGTGTGTGTGTGTGTGTGTGTGTGTGTGTGTGTGTGTGTGTGTGTGTGTGTGTGTGTGTGTGTGTGTGTGTGTGTGTGTGTGTGTGTGTGTGTGTTGTGTGTGTGGTGTGTGTGTGTGTGTGTGTGTGTGTGTGTGTGTGTGTGTGTGTGTGTGTGTGTGTGTGTGTGTGTGTGTGTGTGTGTGTGTGTGTGTGTGTGTGTGTGTGTGTGTGTGTGTGTGTGTGTGTGTGTGTGTGTGTCTCAGGTGCAGCAGCAGGGGGTGTTCTATGTCCAGAAGCAGTGCTCTAACCTGCTGGACGAGCTGCCAGAGCTCACAGACGACGTGGAGCCTCACGTGTCCTGGATGAGCGACGCACTCGGTGAGTTCATCCTGATCCCAGACCAGTTACCTGTCTCAAACAAACTGTATCTCCAGAGGTGGGAAGTAGTGGAGTACAAATACTTTGTTACTGTACTTAAGTACATGTTTCTGGTATCAGTACTTTACGCCACTACTTATTTTTCTGACCACTTTTTACTTTGACTTGAGTAAAGAAGTTTAGTCAGTACTTCTACTTCTACCAGAGTATTTTTAAACACGAGTATCTGTACTTCTGCTTGAGTACAGGATGTGTGTACTTCTGCCATCTCTGAGTATCTATAAAGGTCTTACCTGTAGATGGGTCGGGGTCTACAGGGTCTGCAGCTAATATCTACAGGGTCTTCCTTCTATGGAAGTATCTAACCCCGGTGTCCCATGACCCACATTTCACTAAAGAATACACAGAAATCCCTTAAACTTTGTCAAAACTTTTTATTGTTCTGCAGTTCAGCATGTTGGAAAACAGGGACTGAAACATATCTATACATTAGTAAAAAAAATCAAAGAAACAACTTCAGAAGTCGTCTCTTCAGTAAGAAAAACATGTTTACTGTATGTAGTATTTATAATCTTTGTATTTATCAGGTAATACATTTTCACATTTGTTTTCTTACCTTATTCAACAAAACTCAATATTTAAACTAAGCGGTTTTAAAGAATGAGATGCCCTTTAGATGCCGCTGTGCAAACATCAGACACCCAATCCATCCTTCATCCACGCTCTTTAAATCACCTGCTCGTGTCGCTCCCGTACTCGTGTCGCTCCCGTAGTCGTGTCGCTCCCGGAGTCGTGTCGCTCCCGTACTCGTGTCGCTCCCGTACTCGTGTCGCTCCCGTAGTCGTGTCGCTCCCGTACTCGTGTCGCTCCCGTACTCGTGTCGCTCCCGTAGTCGTGTCGCTCCCGGAGTCGTGTCGCTCCCGTACTCGTGTCGCTCCCGTAGTCGTGTCGCTCCCGGAGTCGTGTCGCTCCCGTAGTCGTGTCGCTCCCGTAGTCGTGTCGCTCCCGTAGTCGTGTCGCTCCGGAGTCGTGTCGCTCCCGTACTCGTGTCGCTCCCGTACTCGTGTCGCTCCCGTACTCGTGTCGCCCGTAGTCGTCGCTCCGGAGTCCGTGTCGCCCGTAGTCGTGTCGCTCCCGTACTCGTGTCGCTCCGCGTAGTGTCGCTCCCGGAGTCGTGTCGCTCCCGTACTCGTGTCGCTCCGTAGTAGTCGTGTCGTCCCGTACTCGTGTCGCTAGTCGTGTCGCTCCCGGAGTCGTGTCGCTCCCGTACTCGTGTCGCCCGTAGTCGTGTCGCTCCGTACTCGTGTCGCTCCCGTAGTCGTGTCGCTCCCGTAGTCGTGTCGCTCCCGTAGTGTGTCGCTCCCGTACTCGTTGTCGCTACCAGTAGTCGTTGTGCGCTCCCGTACTCGCTGTCGCTCCGGTGTCTTGTCGCTCCCGGAGATCGTGTCGCTCCCGGATCGTGTCGCTCCCCGTACTCGTGTCGCTCCCCGTAACTGTGTCGCTCCCGTAGTCGTGTGCTCCTGAAGTAAATACAACTTAACAAACGTAGAATCCCAAAAGTCAGTTCCTATAGATGATGGTTGAACTCCAGCTGTGCCTCGAGCGTCTCTCAGAGGATGTTGTCTCTCCGTCTGTCGAGCTCCTCACTCAGACTCCTCACGCTCCTCCCCATCTTCTTCGGGTTCCTCACCCTCTGAGGGAAGAGGAACTTCTCAAAGCCCGGATGCTTTCTGCCCGGTTTGAAACTGAACAGCTCGTCCTTCTTGAACTCGTCCACAAACCTGGACACGTCGGCTGTCCTCTTGCAGGATGAAGAAGAGGAGGATGAAGAGGAGGAGGTGTTTGTGAGGCGGTGCAGACAGGAGGACAGGTTCAGAGGGTTTCCTCCCGTGAAGAAGAGTCGGTCCAGATGTTTGGCCTGATCTCCAGCCAGGTGAGCGCTCTGCTCCACCTGCTGAGACGTGAAGCTGCCTTTACCGAACTCTATCCCACCTGAGAGGAGAGAGGAGATGATGTTCAGGTGTATATCAGTATGTAGTGTCTCTACTTTAAAGAGTCCTCTCCTGCTGATGTTCAGGTGTATATCAGTATGTAGTGTCTACTTTAAAGAGTCCTCTCCTGCTGATGTTCAGGTGTATATCAGTATGTAGTGTCTCTACTTTAAAGAGTCCTCTCCTGCTGATGTTCAGGTGTATATCAGTATGTAGTGTCTCTACTTTAAAGAGTCCTCTTCTGCTGATGTTCAGGTGTATATCAGTATGTAGTGTCTCTACTTTAAAGAGTCCTCTCCTGCTGATGTTCAGGTGTATATCAGTATGTAGTGTCTCTACTTTAAAGAGTCCTCTCCTGCTGATGTTCAGGTGTATATCAGTATGTAGTGTCTCTACTTTAAAGAGTCCTCTCCTGCTGATGTTCAGGTGTATATCAGTATGTAGTGTCTCTACTTTAAAGAGTGAGCTGACCTTTGAACTCGTTGATCATGAGCTCAGTGAGGAGATCCAGGCTGACGTTCCCTCCCGATGTTCCCTGAAGATTCAGAACTCGGTTCCACTTCATGTCCTGTCTGACTCGCTCCGGGTAGAACCCCTCGATCCCTGAACACAACACGGTAACCATGACAACAACCCAGACAACAACCCTTTAGTCACACTGAGAACAGAGAAGCTACAAGAGTAGTGCCGTTCACCACCCAAACATTTAGAAAATTAAATAATAATAAAGTACATTTTTGGTCTTATACAATTGTTTTAATAATAATAATAATAATAATAATAATAATAATAATAATAATAATAATAGTTATAATAAATTACAATTTTGGTTGAATAAAATGTGTTTAAATAAATAAATAGCATTAATAGCGAATATGAGTTACAATAATGATCATAAATTACGTTTTTGGTCGGATAAAAATGTGTTTAATAAAATAAACATCACCTCGACAGACACAAACTAATACTCTTTCCACAGCAAAACAAATATACTCTAATTGATCTCAGTAAATCTAATCACAAAAACCACAGGACGCAATAGTGTCTCAGTGGGCGGGGCTTGTTGTCACTGACCAATCAGATGTCTCGTACCTGTGATCAGCTGGTGGCTGCTGTTGAAGAGCTGCAGGTGTTTTCGGCTCCACAGCAGAACCATGTCCGTCCTCCAGAAGTCCGTCATGGCGTCTCCGTCTCCCTCCTGGATGGCGTCCCGTCGGGCCAGGTGGTTAAGCCCCTCCCACAACACCGCCTTAGTGTAGTTCAACAGGAAGTCCTCCTCCCCGCCCCCCCCCATGGAGCAGGAGGAGGAGCAGAACCACGGAGCTGCAACAACAAACATGTCAGAAAGATTCAAGATTCAATAATAATAATAATAATAATAATACATGACACTTATATAGCGCTTTTCTAAAAACAAAAAGTTATTTCTGTTATTATTAACAGTAATAACGTAAAATAGCATTAAACAAATTCAAATTAAATTAAAGCTGCAAGCAGCGTTGAGCGGGTCTTCGACGCTCCGCAGGCTGTTGTCCGCACGTCGACGTCAGGCAGATGTCTCGAGGACTCGGCCGTTGGCAAACGTGGGAAGTTTCAGGCCGATCGGACAACGTACATGGGAGTTACAGCAGTATCATAAACATTGTGTTTGATGGCGAGTGATCTGTCGCCATGGCAACGGAATTTGATGACACCCCATAATACGCCTAGATGTGTTGAGGGCTGCATCGTTATCAAACCTGTGAAGTTTTGGGCCGTTTGGAGCATGTTAACTGGAGTTATGAGAAAACCGTGTTTCACGGCGACCATTTTGTTACCATAGCAACGACATTTGACGAAATCTCAAAACTGACACATATATGTCTCGAGGGCTTGACGGTTAGCACACATGTGAAATTTGAACACTTTTTAACTATTTACACAGGAGTTAAAGCAATATGGTGCTTAACGGCGAGGGATGCGTTGCCACGGCAACAGCTTTTGAGGAAAACTCACTATTGTCATATTGAGGTGTTGAGGGCCGGACCATTAACTGTCATCTGATGTCTGGTGCAGTTTGGACCATTTTCCATTGAGTTAAGACAACACCGTGTTTCATGGCGAGGGATCTGTCGCCATGGCAACGGCATATGATGACATCCCATAATTGGCGTAGAGCTGTTGAGGGCCGGACTAGTAGCCATGATCTGAAGTGTGGTGCCGTTTGGAACCTTTTCCATTGATTTAAGACAACATTGTGTTTTTTGGCGAGGGATGCGTTGCCATGGAAACGGCATGCGGTGAGATCTCAGATTTCACGTAGAGCTGTTGAGGGCCGGACTAGTAGCCATGATCTGAAGTCTGGTGCAGTTTGGAACATTTTCCATTGACGTAAGACAACATCGTGTTTTACGGCGAGTGATTAGTTGCCATGGAAACGGCATACGGTGAGATCTCAGATTTCACGTAGAGCTGTTGAAGGCCGGACCATTAACTGTCATCTGAAGTCTGGTGCCGTTGGAACGTTTTCCATTGAATTAAGACAACTTCGTGTTTTATGGCGAAGGATGCGTTGCCATGGAAACGGCATACGGTGAGATCTCAGATTTCGCGTAGAGCTGTTGAGGGCCGGACCAGTGATATAAAAGTGAAGATTGGGGGACGATGGGACCGTGTCCATTGGATTTACAGCGACACCGTGTTTTATGGCGAGGGATTCGTTGCCATGGCAACAGCTTTTGAGGAAAACTCACTTTTGTCATATTAATGTGTTGAGGGCCGGACCATTAACTGTCATCTGAAGTCTGGTGCCGTTTTGAACCTTTTCCATTGATTTAAGACAACATCGTGTTTTATGGCGAGTGATGCGTTGCCATGGAAACGGCATACGGTGAGAACTCAGATTTCACGTAGAGCTGTTGAGGGCCGGAGCATTAACTGTCATCTGAAGTCTGGTGCCGTTTGCAACCTTTTCCATTGAATTAAGACAACATCGTGTTTTACGGCGTGGGATGCGTTGCCATGGAAACGGCATACGGTGAGATCTCAGATTTCACGTAGAGCTGTTGAGTCATGGACCAGTGATATAAAAGTGAAGATTGGGGGACGATGGGACCGTGTTGATTGGATTTACAGCGACACCGTGTTTTATGGCGAGGGATTCGTTGCCATGGCAACAGCTTTTGAGGAAAACTCACTTTTGTCATATTAATGTGTTGAGGGCCGGACCATTAACTGTCATCTGAAGTCTGGTGCAGTTTTGACCATTTTCCATTGACTTAAGACAACATTGTAAAGTTTGGTGGCGTTGTGAGCATGTCAGTTTCAGTTATGACATCATCGTATTCCATGGCGTTTGATGGGCCTAGCATCGAGCGAACGCGAACTTTGGCGCCAAATAACGGCTGCGCCGTGCGAAAGAAAAAAACTTCCGTGATAACTTTGAATTGCCCATGTAAATGATAAATCGCGTTTTTTGACGCCTTTTTCGACGCCAAATTCAAAATGGCCGACTTCCTGTACGTTATTTTATACCCCTCCAAGAGGCTTTTTTGTTCGTCTCCGCACCCTAGATATGCGTAGCGAGTTTCGTTCGTTTACGTGAAAGTTAAAGTAGGGGGAGTTAACGTTAAAAACGGAAGTGGGCGTGGCCTACGCAATTTTTGACGTAAAGTTCCGGGACCAATTACACATCTCAAGTTGCACCACTTCTGACGTGCGTGCACAATTTGGTGAGTTTTCACATATGTAGCGGGGGTCAAAAGTGCGCGCAAAAAGTTCAAATAATAATCAGAATAATAATAATAATAAATAATCGGACCAATATCAATAATGTGCTCGTTTACCATATTGGCCGTTGGGCTACCTACTGTCATGATTTAGGCCACTTTTAATGGACTTTTACCCGTCTTTTTCCCTGTTTTTAGTGGGTTTTGCATGGTTATCGCTCGCTTTGCGAGCGACTAAATTGATCGTAACGATATTAATTATGCGAGTTGCGCCCACGTGACTGGGCTCGCGCGGACTATCTGCCGTCACTATTTCCGAACCTTTTCTGTGCTTTTGCCGGTCGTTATCCCTGTTTTTATGTGTTTTTCGCAGGTTTATCGGTCTCTGCGCGACCGATTTCAATAGGGTCTTCGCCGACCTATGGTCTCAGACCCTAATAATAATAATAAAACAAGAAAATTGAAAAAAAATCCATAGCACGTATAAATATAAAATAACAAAAATAATGATGACATTATTACATTTAGGAAAGGCTTGAATATAAGTCTCACTGTGCTGGTTGTTGCTCTGCTGGGCGTCTGTCAGACAGGCTCGGTGGTACCACTCGTGCTCCCTGCAGCGCTCCATCAGGCCACACTGGACCATCTGCCCCCCCCTCCGCTCCTTACACTGACAGTAAGCGTACGTCCCGTCTGAGCCGCAGTCCGGACCACAGAACCGATCCTGATCCTCATCCTGATCCTGATCCTGATCCTCATCCTGATCTGAGAGGGTCCGAGTCTGAACACAGCTTTCGTGAAACCAGATCCTCGGACACAAGTTACTGCAGCAGCGAACCAGACGCTCTCCTGGTTTCTCTAAAACAACAACAAGAACACATCTGGGGTTAACCCTTCATAGGGCACTAACCCTAACCCTAACCGTGTCAGGCCTCTGCTGATTCGTCAAATTCCCCAATGGCGCGTTCTGTGGCGTAGAGTGATCTTCGCTGATTGGCTGGGAGAAAACCACATGCTTCTCGACCTCACTGAGTCGCGGGGAGAACGCCATGTTTGGGTAACCCTCCCCCAAATATGGTTCCTCGCCCGATAAAGAAGTTAAAGGCAGAATTTTTGAAGACTTTTATTTTGAAGAAGCTGGAGGACTTTTATTTTGAAGAAGCTGGAGGACTTTTATTTTGAAGAAGCTGGAGGACTTTTATTTTGAAAAGCAGGAGGACTTTTGATTTGAAGAAGCTGAATTTTCCTGTTGGGTCAAATATTTGTATTTAAAGCTCAATCGTCTTTCAAAAAGGAGAACATAAGAAGGAAAAAGGTTAAAAGACAGAGCGCTGGACATCAGAGAAATCCACAGAAGAAGACAGACAGGATGTAAACACCAAAGGGAACAGCAGAAGAAGACAGACAGGATGTGAACACCAAAGGGAACAGCAGAAGAAGACAGATAGGATGTGAACACCAAAGGGAACAGCAGAAGAAGACAGATAGGATGTAAACACCAAAGGGAACAGCAGAAGAAGACAGATAGGATGTAAACACCAAAGGGAACCACAGAAGAAGACAGACAGGAAGTGAACACCTCCTGCTGAGCTCTCACCTTCTCTGCAGTAACAGAAGGGGAATATGTTCCTCTTCTCTCCGTCACTCTGCTCAGCAGCAGCAGCAGCAGCCATGTTGATGTCCTCCTGAGACGGAGGCATCCACACCAGGTCCACCAGTCTGTGAGCGAGGTCTCTCAGCCAGTCCATCTGAGCAGAGGCCTGGGGGGGCAAGTCTGAGGGTCTCTGGTCCACAGAGTCCAGACCACAGGCCGTCACAGCAAACAGAGTCACGTAGGCCGACGTCACAAACTGAGAGAAATGTTCAGCAGAGGGGAGAAGTACTTTGATCAGGTACTTGAGTACAAGTAGAAGTACTTTGATCTTTGAGTACAAGTAGAAGTACTTTGATCTTTGAGTAGAAGTACTTAGATCAGGTACTTGAGTACAAGTAGAAGTACTTTGATCAGGTACTTGAGTACAAGTAGAAGTACTTTGATCTTTGAGTACAAGTACTTAGATCAGGTACTTGAGTACAAGTAGAAGTACTTTGATCAGGTACTTGAGTAGAAGTAGAAGTACTTTGATCAGGTACTTGAGTAGAAGTAGAAGTACTTTGATCAGGTACTTCAGTAAAAGTAGAAGTACTTTGATCTTTGAGTAAAAGTAGAAGTACTTTGATCAGGTACTTGAGTAGAAGTAGAAGTACTTTGATCAGGTACTTTAGAAGTAGAAGTACTTTGATCAGGTACTTGAGTAAAAGTAGAAGTACTTTGATCTTTGAGTAAAAGTAGAAGTACTTTGATCAGGTACTTGAGTAGAAGTAGAAGTACTTTGATCAGGTACTTGAGTACAAGTAGAAGTACTTTGATCTAGTACTTGAGTAAAAGTAGAAGTACTTTGATCTTTGAGTAAAAGTAGAAGTACTTTGATCAGGTACTTGAGTAGAAGTACTTTGATCAGGTACTTGAGTACAAGTAGAAGTACTTTGATCTTTGAGTAAAAGTAGAAGTACTTTGATCAGGTACTTGAGTAGAAGTAGAAGTACTTTGATCAGGTACTTGAGTACAAGTAGAAGTACTTTGATCTTTGAGTAAAAGTAGAAGTACTTTGATCAGGTACTTGAGTAGAAGTAGAAGTACTTTGATCAGGTACTTTAGTAGAAGTAGAAGTACTTTGATCAGGTACTTTAGTAGAAGTAGAAGTACTTTGATCAGGTACTTGAGTAGAAGTAGAAGTACTTTGATCAGGTACTTTAGTAGAAGTAGAAGTACTTTGATCAGGTACTTTAGTAGAAGTAGAAGTACTCAGATCCTGTACTTGAGTAAAAGTAGAAGTACTCAGATCTTGTACTTGAGTAAAAGTAGAAGTACTCAGATCTTGTACTTGAGTAAAAGTAGAAGTACTCAGATCTTGTACTTGAGTAAAAGTAGAAGTACTCAGATCTTGTACTTGAGTAAAAGTAGAAGTACTCAGATCTTGTACTTGAGTAAAAGTAGAAGTACTCAGATCTTGTACTTGAGTAAAAGTAGAAGTACTCAGATCTTGTACTTGAGTAAAAGTACAGTATTGACCCAAATATAAGACGATCCCTCTTTTCAAGACTCATTTTTGGAAAAATACCTTTTTGACCAAATCTTGTTTTTATGAAGAAAAATAACTTAATTTGAAAATAATGATAACACACATCACTTATTGTTTTCAAATGTGCCGTCTATTCGTCACATCACAGACGTCTTCTCATTCATTTTTCTCTCCTGTTGCCGTTACTGTACTTTAAGACGGTGTCTCGCTTGGGGGAACACTCGTCTGTTGTTGTGACTGTAATTACATCGAAAAGTCTAGACCCCGAATATAAGACGACCCCTCTTTCAGATTTCTTACTAGCAAAGAAAACGTCTTATATTCGGGTTAATCCGGTACTCAGATCCTGTTCTTGAGTAAAAGGAGGTCTGTAGGATGGACAGACGTCACCATCATTAGATCACTGAATAGTTTAAAGAGTCTCACCGTGATGAAGTCCCAGATGTTCAGGAAGTAATCTTTGGCCGTGTTGTTAAACGTCTTGAAGTGAAACAGCGAGACGATGTGATGAAGAGTTCCTCGAGCGTTCTCACTCTTCTCACTGAGAAGCATCTTCATCATTTCCTGAAAAATAGTGTTTATTACTGTGAAACAGCTTGAAGACTTTTATTCTGAAGAAACTGGAGGTCTTTCACATTAAAAACAGCCAGAGGACTTTTATTCTGAAGAAGCTGGACGACTTTTATTCTGAAGAAGCTGGACGACTTTTATTTTGAAGAAGCTGGACGACTTTTATTTTGAAGAAGCTGGACGACTTTTATTCTGAAGAAGCTGGACGACTTTTATCGTAAAACAGCTGAAAGACTTTTACTTTGAAACAGCCTGACTTTTTCTTACAAACTGCTCGATGGCTTTTATTTTGAAGAACCTGGAGAACTTTTATTTTCACCTTTCACCTTGTGTTGTTAAAATTCAATGAAGCTTTCCTCACCTCGTGGAACAGGTGTTCCTTCTGAAACTCTGGTGGAGCTTCAACGAGTCCGTCAAACTTCAGCTCAGGGTTCTGCTTTGGAGTTTCGTTGTTCTGGGTTTCGTTGCTCTGCTCCTTCCTCTCGGTGCTGAGGACGTCTCCACAACACAGGATGTGATGCGGAGTCCCAGAAACCTCAGGGATGAAGTCCTTCAGGCCGAACGCCGCGCTGACAGATTCCTCCGTGAGGTTCGGTATCACTGCACCCAGACTCACCTGAGGGGGAAGGACGCATCAGGACAGGAAACAGGACAATATTAAGTAAGCATTACAGACAGGACTCACGGTGCTGCTCTGCTCCTTCATCAGGGAGGAGTATTTGTGAGGAATGTGTCTCTCCACTCGTCCCCTCGGTCCTTTCAGGGCCGTCAGGTTGTCGGCGATGATCCGCATCACTAACGTCTTCATACGCTGTCGCAACGACTCGTACGTCTAGGAGAAAATTGTTACTTGCTTGAGTGGTTTTCAATATAACATGTTCCCATAGGCCACTTAAACTGCAAGGATATCTTTCATATCTTTTCAAGGTTTATTGAAAATAAATCACAGCTTTAATGCAGATTATTCCATTCATTTGCATCTCGTCTAGACTTGATTATTTTAAAACTACAACACTGGATCAAGTGACAAAAACACGACTTGTAATGTTGGGCTATAAAGGAACTACAGCACGGTCACATGACTTCACGTCACCACCGCTAAGCTAAAGGTGGCTAATGTTGGGCTATAAAGGACTACAGCACGGTCACATGACTTCACGGTCACCACCGCTAAGCTAAAGGAGGCTAATGTTGGGCTATAGAGGAACTACAGCACGGTCACATGACTTCACGTCACCACCGCTAAGCTAAAGGAGGCTAATGTTGGGCTATAGAGGAACTACAGCACGGTCACATGACTTCACGTCACCACCGCTAAGCTAAGGAGGCTAATGTTGGGCTATAAAGGAACTACAGCACGGTCACATGACTTCACGTCACCACCGCTAAGCTAAAGGTGGCTAATGTTGGGCTATAAAGGAACTACAGCACGGTCACATGACTTCACGTCACCACCGCTAAGCTAAAGGAGGCTAATGTTGGGCTATAGAGGAACTACAGCACGGTCACATGACTTCACGTCACCACCGCTAAGCTAAAGGAGGCTAATGTTGGGCTATAGAGGAACTACAGCACGGTCACATGACTTCACGTCACCACCGCTAAGCTAAAGGTGGCTAATGTTGGGCTATAAAGGAACTACAGCACGGTCACATGACTTCACGTCACCTCCGCTAAGCTAAAGGAAGCTAATGTTGGGCTATAGAGGAACTACAGCACGGTCACATGACTTCACGTCACCACCGCTAAGCTAAAGGAGGCTAATGTTGGGCTATAAAGGAATTACAGCACGGTCACATGACTTCACGTCACCACCGCTAAGCTAAAGGCGGCTAATGTTGGGCTATAGAGGAACTACAGCACGGTCACATGACTTCACGTCACCACCGCTAAGCTAAAGGTGGCTAATGTTGGGCTATAAAGGAACTACAGCACGGTCACATGACTTCACGTCACCACCGCTAAGCTAAAGGAGGCTAATGTTGGGCTATAGAGGAACTACAGCACGGTCACATGACTTCACGTCACCACCGCTAAGCTAAAGGCGGCTAATGTTGAGCTATAGAGGAACTACAGCACGGTCACATGACTTCACGTCACCACCGCTAAGCTAAAGGCGGCTAATGTTGGGCTATAGAGGAACTACAGCACGGTCACATGACTTCACGTCACCACCGCTTAAGCTAAAGGTGGCTAATGTTGGGCTATAAAGGAACTACAGCACGGTCACATGACTTCACGTCACCACCGCTAAGCTAAAGGAGGCTAATGTTGGGCTATAAAGGAACTACAGCACGGTCACATGACTTCACGTAACCACCGCTAAGCTAAAAGCGGCTAATGTTGGGCTATAAAGGAACTACAGCACGGTCACATGACTTCACGTCACCACCGCTAAGCTAAGGAGGCTAATGTTGGGCTATAAAGGAACTACAGCACGGTCACATGACTTCACGTCACCACCGCTAAGCTAAAGGTGGCTAATGTTGGGCTATAAAGGAACTACAGCACGGTCACATGACTTCACCACCGCTAAGCTAAAGGTGGCTAATGTTCAGAGTGATGACGTTTAGTCGTCTCATTTAGACACTTGTTTCTAAGTGGCTCTTGTCATATTTAGTTATTGAATGTGTACCTCTTTGGCTGGCAGGATGCTGTAAGGAGAAACTTCCACTGCTTTTATCGGAGGTCCGTGCAGGTTACGAAAATTAACCCGAGCTTGATGAGCGAAGCGAAACGCCCACGTTACAAAACTGTATCCTCGCTCAGTAGAATCAGACCTGAACACTGACGGCACCTGAGGAAACAGAGATTAGATCTTAATTGTTCTTTAAAAAGATTAAAACAATTATTACCCGTTATTAAGACGTGTTACCCGGACTTTTCCCCAGCTGAAGGTGTAAGCTGCCGCCTTTTTGGAGTCTTCACTGCAGTACTGAGTCCCTCTGGTCGTCTACAAATAAAATATATTATTTACAATTGTAGGTATACTGCTCCCATTCACAAACAGCTGTGGCATTATGTAAACAAACTCTTGATGCAGACATGTTGGTCTCATAGGATGTCAAAGAAACGTTTATAGAGTGAGACACTAGGGTTAAATTAAATTGGGAACACACCATTTCAAATAAGACAAACATCATAATAATAACAACAATTCTACATTAAAAAAATAAACAAAAAGACAAAATAGTAATAATATTTCAGCATTTCCTGACATGCAGATCCTGCTCCATATTATCCCGTTCTTCGTTAACACCAACGTATATCAACAAAACTGAACTCAAATGAACTCGTATCAAACTCAAACCACGTTACCAACACGTGAATCCCCCCCCCCCCTCTCCTCACCTGGATTTCGTCTCTCCACCGCTTCACCGTTCGCTCGTGCTCCTCGGCGAGTTTCCGGACGTGGATCCTGGCGGTGGTTTTGGACATCGAGAGGCCGAGGCTGTTGGTGACGGAGAAGATTGTGACGGGGCAGCGGTGACGCAGCATCTCCACGCTGAAGGCCGTCTGCAGGAAGCAGGACCTGAGGGAGCTGGTGTAGAGAGGCACTGACAGAAGGAGGCAGATCCTGCGCTCCAACATCTGCTTCACCTCCTCCTCCGTCATCCGCCTGCAAGAAGAGCAATCATCATACACTGTCAATTCATCAATCAATCAATTCATGTTTATTTATATAGCCCAAAATCACACTTGTCTCAGTGGACTTCACAGTTTGTACAGAATATCAATACGACCCGCTCTTTCCTTATACCCTCACACCGTACAAGGAAAAACCTCCAAAGAAACCGCGCAGCTAACGGGGAACAATGGAAGAGACCTCGAGGAGAGGTTTCACTGGTGTTGCAAACATCATGTATAAAAGTCATAGTAAAGCAGGGGGGTCAGACTCAAAGCCCGACTTCATTTACTGCGGCCCGCAAGAGCTCTGAAAGAATATAATATGTGTATTATACGGTTACATGCCGCTTTACAGAAGCACATTGTCCATAAACTACATGTCCCACAATGCATCTCATTTCGTGACATGGCACTGCAGAGACTTGCAATTATTTGCCCTAGACTTCTGCTTTCAGACGTAGTTAATTATGAAGTTCTTACCCTATCCGATAATAATCCAATGCAGAGGCAATAATGTAATAAAATACATTATTTTATATATACGATATATATATAGTCTTACATTTACAACCATAATGCTAATATGGCCCGCGATGAAATTGAGTTTAACACCCCTGTTAAGTAAAGTATGTCCATAATATCCTTAAAAAGACCCACCGTGGTTTGTTCCCAGGACTGTAGTTGACGGTCAGTTTCTGGATCTTTTTGGCGGGGGGGAACATGGACCGGAGGCAGGCTACAGTCAGAGGAGCCTTACCCTCGGCCCAGGAAGTAGTCTGATCCCAGCTGAAGGCAGACAGGTTCTCAGGGCTGAAGGGCTTCCTGAACGGCCCCTCCAGGTCATTCACCATCTGTTTACGCTTAAATAAAATACATTTAAAATAGACAACAACCTTTCAAACCTATAAAAACAGGTGTCTCCTGTGTGTCCGGTGCAGTACTGCAATTCTGCATTGATTTGGGTCTCATGAAATGGAACTTGAAATCATAGTTTTTTAAAGAAACCGCTGAATTTTCACAAAACTAATCATATTAAAAGAGAAAAAAAAGGTGTTCACAAGTCAAATCTCTAGTACTTTTTTTCATAAATCAGATTCATTTGAGATTTTTTTCAGAATTCTGAGATTGAAGTCAGAACTCCAAAAAAAGATTGGCCTCTTTTTCACTGCCCTTTTGGTCTTATTCCCCCCAAAATCGAATTTGGCCGTAATCCTCTTCTGTAGAACGGTGATTTCTTGATGGTGAAACCCTGTTGTTTAAAGCAATGTAAGAACCTGATGTTCACAGTCCCTGTCACTTTCACCTGTTTTAATAAATACATTTTATAATCTCGTCTCACCTCGTTTGAAATGATTTTCCCGCACACTTTGATGAGAGCCTCTCTGAAGCCGGACTCCTGCAGCAGGCGGTTCAGAGCGGAGCTGAAGTTCCTCCTCCTCAGGAACCCACTCACCTGAGCACAGGTGGTACCACACTGTGAACATACTCAATATCAAGTGAAAGTACTGCATCGAGAATGGTACTTAAGTAGAAGTATTTAATTACACCTAGGAAAATGTACTTGAGGTATAAGGAGTAAAAGTACTAATTGCAAAAATAAAAAGAATATTTCTATATTTTTAAATAAATCTTCTCATTTAAGAAGCTGTGGAATATATTTTAACAAAACATTTCTTTTCTGCTAACCCACTCATTATTTTAGTTACTTAGATATAATGTTGGATAGTTTGATCTATACCTTAATCATATTTTTTAAGTTCTTCCTAATTATTGTTTGTCAAAATATAAATGTATAAAAGTAAAAACATCTGTTATAACACAATACAGTAGAGTATAAAGTACAACTTTGGCTCCCAAAAAGTAGAAGTATTCGTGTTATAAAATGAAAATACTGGGGTAAAGCACAAGTACCTCAAATGTGTACTCAACTACAGTAGGCTACAGTAATTTCACAAACATATATTAAATGACAGAATTGTGTTTATTGATGTATTAATATCTTCCTCACAGCTCATTTTACTGACAGAATGTAGGCACTGCTGCTGGATATAAGCACCTATAATTACATGTAATCTTAATTATTAATTATTTTTTAACCACTGTACCTGGGACACCGGCCCTCGGCGGAGGCGTCTGGCCGGCGGAGGTCTGCAGGATCCGGGCTCCATGTCCCGGGTCGCATAGTCGTGCTCGTTCATCTGAGTTTTGAGTCTTTTCTTGAGCTTCTTCAGAGGCGGCGGTTCCCCCGGAATACAGGAGGCAGGCCGGGTAGAAGGAGCCGCACAAGAGGGGGGGTTTGGGTCCACAAAAACACGCCTTTTACCGTTTTTCTTAGTTTTCTGGTACACCTGACGGACACAGGAGAAACATAGAAACGCCTCACGGGGGTTTAAACCCGGGAAGAGTTTTTCTGCGCTCTTTAAATCGATTAATGTCAATAAAGACTTCCTTTTATACCCTTTGGCTTGTCTCTCTATGGGACTTTCGCAGTGACTGCACCGGAGCTCCATGCTAGCTACCGTTACTTTACACGGTACTCTAACGTTTAACGACCCCTATCTTTGTCTAAGAGCAAAGTGAGACGAAAAAAACCCGCCGGGTTGAAATGGAAACTTATAAGTGACAGTTCAGGCGGGTTTTGATAGAAGTGTAGTAGTTGTAAAGTAAATAAACTTAACTTATTCAGGTGAAGTAAAGTTTGTGTAGAATCGAAGATGGCGCCGGCTTTACGCAGTGAGCTCAGTGCTGCCGTCGGCGGCCTGGAGGAGAACTACAACAATAGAGATTTCCTTTTTTTTTTAAGTCATACTTTTTATACGTTTTAAATTATTACATTTGTTCTGTGTTTAAGTATTTATGTGTAAGTTTTGAAAAACTATTTTTGCTTAGTTTTTCTCTCTATTACACCATGTTTTTTACACAGATGGTGGCCTGCGTTTTTAAAACTGAGCTCATGTAATCCAACTACTATTTTAATGTTTAATGTGACTCCAGTCATACCTGTAGTTTTATACAGATGATCATGTTTCAAAGTAATACATAGATTTGGTGCATCACTGTGAATCATCATCACTAATTATTCCTTCAACTTCTCATAATACATATTTTCACTTTTATCTTTTAGGAAAGTTACCAGATGCAGTGAATTTCTGGCTTGGAGAAGCGAGCGCCGTAACGTCCTGTAAGACCTGAACACAACACCCCACTTTAGGTATAGCTTAACATATACATAAATATGGAAAAAATATATATAAATGTGTGTATTTTGAATTCTATTTTCAGTGCACAAAGATCACTATGAGAATCTGTACTGTGTGATTTCTGGAGAGAAAAACTTCATCTTGCTGCCGCCCACAGACCGACCCTTCATCCCCTATGGTAACCATAGTAACCCCCTCCAAGTTTAATAACCACTGTGTACAACCTACAGTAACCATAGTAACTGTGGTCTCTATCAGGGATGTACCAGCCGGCTGTTTACCATCAGCGGGACGACGGGGAGTTCGAGGTCGTCGATCAAAGCGACTCTGAGAAGGTGCGTTCAGGTGTCTGTAAATATCACGACTTTCTGTATTTCTTGCACTATTTCTTTATTCATATTTTTGAATTCTATTATATATGTTGCATTGTTGGAGGAGCTCGGGTCAGAAGAACGTGGGTTTAAACCCGGGAGGAGTTTCTCTGCCGCTACCGTTACTCTACGGTACTTCAACGTTTAACGACCCCTATCTTTGTCTACGAGCAAAGTGAGAGAAGACAAACACACCGGGTTGAAGTGGAAACGTATAATATATATATTTTAAGTCTTTAGGAGATTTTTATTTTAGAATATGTCAAAAATAACTAACTATATCATATATTTTGAAAGGACTTAAAAAGCGTTTTTCAAGAGTAAAGATTTGTATATATATTATTTAATTGGGACTGACAGTTCAGGCGGGTTTTGGTGGAAGTATAGTTGTTGTAAAGTCAATAAACGTAACTCTCAGGTCCCGTGGATCCCTCTGGACCCTCTGGACCCGGACCTGGACCGGTTCCCTCAGTACGGCAGCGCTCAGCCGGTCCGCTGCAGCGTGAAGGCGGGAGAGATGCTGTTCCTGCCGTCCCTCTGGTTCCACCATGTTCAACAGTCCCACGGCTGCATCGCAGGTACGCACTGACCCTGAACGCACCACACGCAGGTACGCACTGACCCTGAACGCACCACACGCAGGTACGCACTGACCCTGAACGCACCACACGCAGGTACGCACTGACCCTGAACGCACCACACGCAGGTACGCACTGACCCTGAACGCACCACACGCAGGTACGCACTGACCCTGAACGCACCACACGCAGGTACGCACTGACCCTGAACGCACCACAGGACTCTAGACCTGCATTCTTTCTATTAAGGTTCAAGGTTAGTTTATTTGTATAGTCACCTATTGTGCCAAATCCTCTTCTTCATGTCTCTTCTTCATCAACATGTGTCCCCTCTTCTTCATGTCTCTTCTACATAAACATGTGTCCCCTCTTCTTCATGTCTCTTCTTCATCAACATGTGTCCCCTCTTCTTCATGTCTCTTCTTCATCAACATGTGTCCCCTCTTCTTCATGTCTCTTCTACATCAACATGTGTCCCCTCTTCTTCATGTCTTTTCTTCATCAACATGTGTCCCCTCTTCTTCATGTCTCTTCTACATCAACATGTGTCCCCTCTTCTTCATGTCTCTTCTTCATCAACATGTGTCCCCTCTTCTTCATGTCTCTTCTACATAAACATGTGTCCCCTCTTCTTCATGTCTCTTCTTCATCAACATGTGTCCCCTCTTCTTCATGTCTCTTCTTCATCAACATGTGTCCCCTCTTCTTCATGTCTCTTCTTCATCAACATGTGTCCCCTCTTCTTCATGTCTCTTCTACATCAACATGTGTCCCCTCTTCTTCATGTCTCTTCTTCATCAACATGTGTCCCCTCTTCTTCATGTCTCTTCTACATAAACATGTGTCCCCTCTTCTTCATGTCTCTTCTTCATCAACATGTGTCCCCTCTTCTTCATGTCTCTTCTTCATCAACACGTGTCCCCTCTTCTTCATGTCTCTTCTTCATCAACATGTGTCCCCTCTTCTTCATGTCTCTTCTTCATCAACATGTGTCCCCTCTTCTTCATGTCTCTTCTTCATCAACATGTGTCCCCTCTTCTTCATGTCTCTTCTACATAAACATGTGTCCCCTCTTCTTCATGTCTCTTCTTCATCAACATGTGTCCCCTCTTCTTCATGTCTCTTCTTCATCAACATGTGTCCTCTCTTCTTCATGTCTCTTCTTCATCAACATGTGTCCCCTCTTCTTCATGTCTCTTCTTCATCAACATGTGTCCCCTCTTCTTCATGTCTCTTCTTCATCAACATGTGTCCCCTCTTCTTCATGTCTCTTCTACATCAACATGTGTCCCCTCTTCTTCATGTCTCTTCTACATCAACATGTGTCCCCTCTTCTTCATGTCTCTTCTTCATCAACATGGGTCCCCTCTTCTTCATGTCTCTTCTCCATCAACATGTGTCCCCTCTTCTTCATGTCTCTTCTTCATCAACATGTGTCCCCTCTTCTTCATGTCTCTTCTACATCAACATGTGTCCCCTCTTCTTCATGTCTCTTTCTTCATCAACATGTGTCCCCTCTTCTTCATGTCTCTTCTTCATCAACATGTGTCCCCTCTTCTTCATGTCTCTTCTTCATCAACATGTGTCCCCTCTTCTTCATGTCTCTTCTTCATCAACATGTGTCCCCTCTTCTTCATGTCTCTTCTACATCAAACATGTGTCCCCTCTTCTTCATGTCTCCTCTACATCAACATGTGTCCCTCTTCTTCATGTCTCTTCTTCATCAACATGTGTCCCCCTCTTCTTCATGTCTCTCTTCTTCATCAACATGTGTCCCCTCTTCTCCATGTCTCTTCTTCATGTCTCTTCTTCATCAACATGTGTCCCCTCTTCTTCATGTCTCTTCTTCATCAACATGTGTCCCCTCTTCTTCATGTCTCTTCTTCATCAACATGTGTCCCCTCTTCTTCATGTCTCTTCTTCATCAACATGTGTCCCCTCTTCTTCATGTCTCTTCTTCATCAACATGTGTCCCCTCTTCTTCATGTCTCTTCTTCATCAACATGTGTCCCCTCTTCTTCATGTCTCTTCTTCATCAACATGTGTCCCCTCTTCTTCATGTCTCTCCTACATCAACATGTGTCCCCTCTTCTTCATGTCTCTTCTTCATCAACATGTGTCCCCTCTTCTTCATGTCTCTTCTTCATCAACATGTGTCCCCTCTTCTCCATGTCTCTTCTTCATGTCTCTTCTTCATCAACATGTGTCCCCTCTTCTTCATGTCTCCTCTACATCAACATGTGTCCCCTCTTCTTCATGTCTCTTCTTCATCAACATGTGTCCCCTCTTCTTCATGTCTCTTCTTCATCAACATGTGTCCCCTCTTCTTCATGTCTCTTCTTCATCAACATGTGTCCCCTCTTCTCCATGTCTCTTCTTCATGTCTCTTCTTCATCAACATGTGTCCCCTCTTCTCCATGTCTCTTCTTCATGTCTCTTCTTCATCAACATGTGTCCCCTCTTCTTCATGTCTCTTCTTCATCAACATGTGTCCCCTCTTCTTCATGTCTCTTCTTCATCAACATGTGTCCCTCTTCTTCATGTCTCTTCTACATCAACATGTGTCCCCTCTTCTTCATGTCTCTTCTTCATCAACATGTGTCCCCTCTTCTTCATGTCTCTTCTTCATCAACATGTGTCCCCTCTTCTTCATGTCTCTTCTTCATCAACATGTGTCCCCTCTTCTTCATGTCTCTCCTACATCAACATGTGTCCCCTCTTCTTCATGTCTCTTCTTCATCAACATGTGTCCCCTCTTCTTCATGTCTCTTCTTCATCAACATGTGTCCCCTCTTCTTCATGTCTCTTCTTCATCAACATGTGTCCCCTCCGTGGGGAGGGGCTCCTTATTTTCATCTAAAGTCACAGACAGAGAATCAGCACTTTGGAAACAGGGGGGATTATGGGTAATGCTGCAATGATCTGTTTGGTGTTTCAGCCAATCAGAGACAGGCTCTGGATATATCTGAGACCTGTGATATATTGATGAAGAAGAGTATAATAGGGACCTTTAAAGTATTATCGTATCGTAAGACACAGAGACATTTAACACATAATCATTTTCAAAAACAAAAAAGCCATTTAATCAAACCGATAAAATAATGTATAATTAGTCAACTGAACTTCAATATATCGATTAAACTTTATTTATACAGCCTGATATCACACATTGTACATGTGTCTCTGGGGTCTTCACAGCGTGTCCAGCATACGACTCTCTGTTCTTCGAGCCTCGCAGTAACACGGGGAAAACTCACAAATTAATGAATCAGGAATATTGTGTTTCTTTCCTCTGCAGTGAACTTCTGGTACGACATGGAGTACGACATCAAGTACAATTACTTCCAACTGCTGGAGACGCTGTCCAAGGACTCTCAAGGACTCTCAAGGACTCGGGGTCAACGTGACGTCACGTTAGCTGCTGGAGACGCTGTCCAAGGACTCTCAAGGACTCTCAAGGACTCGGGGTCAACGTGACGTTAGCTGCTGGAGACGCTGTCCAAGGACTCTCAAGGACTCTCAAGGACTCGGGGTCAACGTGACGTCACGTTAGCTGCTGGAGACGCTGTCCAAGGACTCGGGGTCAACGTGACGTTAGCTGCACCATGAAGCACTGAAATAATGTTCTGTTTAAAACTATCAAGACGTCTTTAGATTTAAAATGTGAATGATATTAAAACTCAAAACATGAATCAACTTCTTTGTTATTGTGGTTTGTTTAAAAAAGAATCCAGACTAAATAAATCCACTGAGAAATCATAAAAAAAAGACTGCATATCGTTTTGGAAATTCTTCATGTTTTAACAAATAGTACTTTTTATCTGGTTTAAAGCCGAACTCCAGCATTATTCAAACTTAGCAACATAAAAATGACAAACTGTGCTTTTAATGGAAAAGGTTTGACTTAATAAAAACAAATGTAAAAAAATAAGCTCACAACTAACTCTGAACCAATGGAAGCATTATACTTCATGTTGGTTTTCCCCAAATGCATCTTGGGAACTGTAGTTCTAAACTGAGAGCATGATTATCCACCTTATTGAAGTAAGAAATAATAGTAAGTGAAATTCAGTAGTTTGATTATTTTTCTTTGGGAAGATATAAATAGTTGTTTGTATTTTAAAGGGGACCTATCCTGCAAAATGCACTTTGTGATGTCTTCTCTACATCAACATGTGTCCCCGGTGTGTCACCATGTGTCCCCGGTGTGTCACCATGTGTCCCCGGTGTGTCACCATGTGTCCCCGGTGTGTCACCATGTGTCCCCGGTGTGCCCCGGTGTGTCACCATGTGTCACCATGTGTCCCCGGTGTGTCCCCGGCGTGTCCCCGGTCCGGTGTGTCCCCGGTGTGTCCCCGGTGAGTCCCCGGTGTGTCCCCGGTGTGTCCCCGGTGTGTCGGGGAACTCACGCAGCGTCAGAAAACAAAACCCTCTCTCTTTTCCTCCGTACCCAAATCTCTAAAAACGGGGAAAAACGGAGCTGATCCAGATTTGCGTCCGATATGACGTAATATCTGAAATGTGGACCCACGGCCCAATCAGAAACGTTGCTATCAGAAACAATGCCCGACTGTTTTGGACGTAATATGGTCGGTGTTTACATTAGCATGGCTAACACTCAGAGCTAACCTGTACTGGAGAGCATGTGTGTGAAGAAGCAGGAAATCAAAAGGAACTCACCTTGTGGTATAACCGGCAAGAGAGAAAGCCTTTGAGCTCCATACTGTTTCAGAGACAATCCTTGATAATCCATGATATGGAGTTTCATCACCGCAGCATTTAGTTTAGATAGTAGCTGCCGGGTCCCCCATGAGCTCAGACCCCTCCTCTTTAAAGCTTTATACCCAAATCATCACTTTAGAAACAGGAAGTGAAATAGAGGGATATGAGGCATGGCTAGAATGATCTGTTTGGTGTTTGGAGCAAAACACTTCATAGACATGTTTTTTATAGATTTGTATATATCTGAGACCTATGCTATTGGCTACAGATAGCATGATAGGTGACCTTTAAAATCTGAACACAAGGAAGACTTAGAATATTCTCCTAATGGGGGGGTGCGCTGAAATAAAAACACGAGTCAAGATTTGAACCCAAACAAAGAGCAATGAGAAAGCACTTTATTAAAACAAAACATCTTTAACAAAAACAGCCAGACGACAGAAAACCAACATATCTTAAAAAAAACTAAAATCTCTGAAGGTCAAAGGCCGTTTGTTTTCTTTCTCCCCCGATATTATTTTTTGTATATACACACATTTATATATATATATATATATATATATAATCTCTACAGTCTCTAGTATTGCAGCGTCTCCGAGACTCAAGGCCACGTTTCCTCTTTTCCCTTCGACAAAATAATAACAACAAGAACAGCGTCCCGTTGAAGATGATTATCTCTCAGCCGCTGGTTCACGAACAGACGTAATAAACTCTTTATGTACAAATGTAAACACAAGCAAGGTGCAGATAAAACTGTGGATTCCTCTTCGCTCCAAACGTGGCGCCCGCTGAAGCTCCGCCCCCTCACTCATTTATCCGTTAAATAATGTCCGAAAATACTCCTCAAAATCACTTTAATTTAAAAATGACGTCTTCAAATGTCTTGATTTGTCCAAAGACGTGAAGTTAATGATTAAAAACAGAAGAATCCTTTCAATGGAAAACTGTTTTGATAAATGTAGGCTTTCATTGATTTATATCATATTAAACTGAGTATCTTTGGTTTTTAACCGGACAAAACAAGACATTCTGACATCACTCACACTTTGGCTAAATTGAGGATATTTCATCGATTTCTGATTTTTTTTTTTAGATGAAACGAAACAAGTCATATTAATGAACTCCAGCAGCAGTTTGCATTTATGGGTTCATCTGGACCCCCTCAGAACTTAGTGATGGGTTCATCTGGACCCCCTCAGAACTTAGTGATGGGTTCATCTGGACATCACCCCCTCAGGACTTAGTGATGATTTGATATGAACCCTCAGTGATATGATATTGATATGAACTCATGATGCTGTTGGAGAGTCTTATTGACATGAGGAAAATATAGTGACGATGATTTTAGTATTAATCAGAAACGAGTTGAACTTGCTCTAAGTATCAGCTGATCTTCAGGTTTTAACCTCAGCAGTGAAGGAGAAGTCATGACCGAGACCCCTCCTCACTAACGAGCTGCTGTTAACGAGATAAACAATTAGAGCTACACCTTAATGGATGCTGTGAGGAGGCGGAGGAGCAGCAGGGGGCGCCGCTCTGACCGCATGAAGCAACTCAGGTCGACGTGACCTCCAAACTCATGAAGGTTAAAGTTTGCTTACCTTTTAAAATAGTTCTTATTTTTTTTTTTAAACACTTCAATTGTTGCACACAGACGTGTCCAAAGGTCTGACCTGCTGTTGCATCATGGGAGCTGGAGTTCATGTCAGCATCAGTGACCTGTTTCTCACACACACACACACACACCAACACACACACACACACACACTCTCAGTCTCGGTCGTCGTGGTGACGGCAGCTCCTGTAGATCGGCACGTTGATGCACGTTGATGCTGTGGAACGCCGGCACCCAGCGGTTGTCATGGAGACCCACGTTGCAGCCCAGCGCGTCCCTGCGGGCGCCATGGCAACATATCCAGTGCCCGGGCCCGTACGGCAGCGCCTGGCAGTACGGCTTGTGATGCCAGCGGCACAACGACACGTCGCCGCGCACGTACCGTCTCTTGCACTGCTTGCAGGGGTCGTCACGGTAACGAGGGTCCGAAACCCAGAGCGAGTCGGCGGGCCGGACGCCGTAGTCCTCGATGATGAACCTGAAGTAGTTGCAGGAGCACTTGAGCGCGGTGAGGCTCTGCGTGGGCAGCAGGCTGAAGACCTTCAGCAGGATGTGGTGCGGCAGGACGTCCAGGAAGGGCTGCGGCTCCAACAGCTGCTGCAGACGCTGACGCATCAACAGGAAGTCCTGCGACGCAGAGGGGCGCCGCACCAGAGGAACCACGGCAACAGGCTCCTCCCCCTGATGCCTGTCAGCCTTCCTCCTCCTCCTCCTCTTCTCTGATTGGCTGCCAGAGTCACAGGGAGCAGGAGGGGGGCTGAGCTCCAGGTCAAAAGACATTCTGTGGCGGCGAGGGGGGCGGGGCTCTGAAGAAAGAGGGGGGCGGGGCTCTGAGGAAAGAGGGGGGCGGGACAAAAACAACAAACCGGGCTGAGGCTCCGCCCCCTCGGTGAGTGAGAGGGGAAGGGCTTCTGTCTGAGTGACAGTGACAGGGGTCAGTGTTTCTTCTCCCACCTCCACCTCACCTGAGGGGGGCGGAGCTGCTGGTGTTTCTGTGCAGCTGATTGGCTCGCTGTCATCACTCTGAGCTCCCAGCAGTGATGATGATGATGATGATGATGATGTCATCGCTGATGATGATGACGGGCAGGGGCTCTGATCTGAGGCGGGGCTCTGATCTGAGGCAGCGAGCAGCACTCTTCCCACCGCCCTTCTCAGGCTGTTGCTCCTCGACAGATCGCCCTCCGTCCTACTCTTCAGACACTCTGACTCCAGCTTGGCCACCATGTCCGACACCCTGACGCTCTCTGGCTCCTCCCCCTTGACCTCTAACCCCTCGGGAGGCAGAGCCCTGGACAGCGTGATGGAGGTGGAGCTCCTCTGGAGGGTCAGCAGAGGTTTGGAGTCGGGCTGCTGCTCGCTGGCTAACTGCTCCATGAACGCCACGATCTCCACGACCGACACCTTCTGCTCCTCGTCCTCCGGCGGCGCCTCGTTTGCACACGGGCCGCCGCCTGAATGCAGCGTTGACACCGCTCTCAGTGGAGATGGACTGAGGACGTGTTGCTGTGTCTCCTGGTCTCCGGGCTTTGCGTCCTGCTGGAGGTTCTGGTTGTTCCCCGACCTGCGGCGCCTCTTAGCGTTACAGTTCTCCTCCCAGCTCCCCTTCGCCTTCACCCCTCGCAACATTCCCGACATCACCGCTGTGTTCGTGCAGACTTCAGGCGTCCGCTCCTGGTTCTCTGAGCCGCCGGTTGAGGTGCGTTCACTGCCTTCAGCGCTGTCCGTTTGCACTTTGTCTGAAGCGAAGATGGCGATCTTTTCCCGGACGTGTCCAGGCTTGATGACGGTCAGGATGTCCAGCGGGGCGTCTGCTTCCTCCGTGGTGGTTTGGTAGAATCTGATCCCGTTGTTCTTGCATCCCGCCACGCTGCTGCTGATGTTGTTGTTGTTGGTGGCGTTGCTGCAGCGCATGGTGTTGGTGGAGATGACGCTGAACGGGAGGCGGCTGATGTTGTTGTTGTTGGCATTGTTGCGACTGCAGGTCCTCATCAGCGCCCCCTGCTGGTTCACAAACGGGCTGCTCCGCTGCGACGTCTGAACCCTGGACGCATCCAAACGCAACTCTGAGCGCATGATCTTCTGATACGACTTCAGGTGCATGATGGTCCTGAAAGACAAGCAGAGAGATCAGACGTTTAGAGACAATAACAATAAAACATGTGAAAGACATTCAAACAAGACTTTACTGTCAACACCTACATCGAACAAAACATGAAGTGAACAAACTGGACCCATTCAAAATAAACCATATAGGGAACTTTAATAAATCCAAACAAGCTGAAGATATTTAAAAGTGAATAATCATTGAAGTCTCTCCTGACAGACAGACACTCAGAGAAGAAGAATAAACAAAGTTAAAAACAGCTCGGGCCTTTCAAGGACACATTTCTCTCTGCATGTGATCACACTGATCCCTCCGTCTCTCTCCTTCATCATGGAGAGAGGAAACCTTATAAGCTCAGGTTCTTCAGACACTAACTGAGTCTCTGCAACACGCCTGCAGACTCAGGTTCTTCAGACACTAACTGAGTCTCTGCAACACGCCTGCAGACTCAGGTTCTTCAGACACTAACTGAGTCTCTGCAACACGCCTGCAGACTCAGGTTCTTCAGACACTAACTGAGTCTCTGCAACACGCCTGCAGACTCAGGTTCTTCAGACACTAACTGAGTCTCTGCAACACGCCTGCAGACTCAGGTTCTTCAGACACTAACTGAGTCTCTGCAACACGCCTGCAGACTCAGGTTCTTCAGACACTAACTGAGTCTCTGCAACACGCCTGCAGACTCAGGTTCTTCAGACACTAACTGAGTCTCTGCAACACGCCTGCAGACTCGGAGGTTGTTTTTGAATAAAGCAGAAAGACGCGTTGCTCTTCTTTGGTCGGAGCAGTAGTTAACACGAAACTCAACGAGCCTTCAGGGCCCTCACCTGAGCCTTCAGGGCCCTCACCCGAGCCTTCAGGGCCCTCACCCGAGCCTTCAGGGCCCTCACCCGAGCCTTCAGGGCCCTCACCCGAGCCTTCAGGGCCCTCACCTACAACATGTCCCTCAACGAGCCTTCAGGGCCCTCACCTACAACATGTCACTCAACGAGCCTTCAGGGCCCTCACCTACAACATGTCCCTCAACGAGCCTTCAGGGCCCTCACCTACAACATGTCACTCAACGAGCCTTCAGGGCCCTCACCTACAACATGTCCCTCAGAGAGCCTTCAGGGCCCTCACCTGAGCCTTCAGGGCCCTCACCTGAGCCTTCAGGGCCCTCACCTACAACATGTCACTCAACGAGCCTTCAGGGCCCTCACCTACAACATGTCCCTCAACGAGCCTTCAGGGCCCTCACCTACAACATGTCACTCAACGAGCCTTCAGGGCCCTCACCTACAACATGTCACTCAACGAGCCTTCAGGGCCCTCACCTACAACATGTCACTCAACGAGCCTTCAGGGCCCTCACCTACAACATGTCACTCAACGAGCCTTCAGGGCCCTCACCTACAACATGTCCCTCAACGAGCCTTCAGGGCCCTCACCTACAACATGTCACTCAACGAGCCTTCAGGGCCCTCACCTACAACATGTCACTCAACGAGCCTTCAGGGCCCTCACCTACAACATGTCACTCAACGAGTCTTCAGGGCCCTCACCTACAACATGTCACTCAACGAGCCTTCAGGGCCCTCACCTACAACATGTCACTCAACGAGCCTTCAGGGCCCTCACCTACAACATGTCACTCAACGAGCCTTCAGGGCCCTCACCTACAACATGTCACTCAACGAGCCTTCAGGGCCCTCACCTACAACATGTCACTCAACGAGCCTTCAGGGCCCTCACCTACAACATGTCACTCAACGAGTCTTCAGGGCCCTCACCTACAACATGTCACTCAACGAGCCTTCAGGGCCCTCACCTACAACATGTCACTCAACGAGTCTTCAGGGCCCTCACCAACAACATGTCCCTCAGAGAGCCTTCAGGGCCCTCACCTACAACATGTCACTCAACGAGCCTTCAGGGCTCTCACCTACAACATGTCACTCAACGAGCCTTCAGGGCCCTCACCTGAGCCTTCAGGGCCCTCACCTACAACATGTCACTCAACGAGCCTTCAGGGCTCTCACCTGAGCCTTCAGGGCCCTCACCTGAGCCTTCAGGGCCCTCACCTACAACACGTCACTCAGAGAGCCTTCAGGGCCCTCACCTACAACACGTCCCTCAGAGAGCCTTCAGGGCCCTCACCTACAACATGTCCCTCAGAGAGCCTTCAGGGCCCTCACCTACAACATGTCCCTCAGAGAGCCTTCAGGGCCCTCACCTACAACATGTCCCTCAGAGAGCCTTCAGGGCCCTCACCTGAGCCTTCAGGGCCCTCACCTGAGCCTTCAGGGCCCTCACCTACAACATGTCCCTCAGAGAGCCTTCAGGGCCCTCACCTGAGCCTTCAGGGCCCTCATCTGAGCCTTCAGGGCCCTCACCTACAACATGTCACTCAACGAGCCTTCAGGGCCCTCACCTACAACATGTCACTCAACGAGCCTTCAGGGCCCTTACCTACAACATGTCCCTCAACGAGCCTTCAGGGCCCTCACCTACAACATGTCCCTCAGAGAGCCTTCAGGGCTCTCACCTACAACATGTCACTCGACGAGCCTTCAGGGCCCTCACCTACAACATGTCCCTCAGAGAGCCTTCAGGGCCCTCACCTACAACATGTCACTCAACGAGCCTTCAGGGCCCTCACCTACAACATGTCACTCAACGAGCCTTCAGGGCCCTCACCTACAACATGTCACTCAACGAGCCTTCAGGGCTCTCACCTGAGCCTTCAGGGCCCTCACCTGAGCCTTCAGGGCCCTCACCTACAACACGTCCCTCAGAGAGCCTTCAGGGCCCTCACCTACAACACGTCCCTCAGAGAGCCTTCAGGGCCCTCACCTACAACACGTCCCTCAGAGAGCCTTCAGGGCCCTCACCTACAACATGTCCCTCAGAGAGCCTTCAGGGCCCTCACCTACAACATGTCCCTCAGAGAGCCTTCAGGGCCCTCACCTACAACATGTCCCTCAGAGAGCCTTCAGGGCCCTCACCTACAACATGTCCCTCAGAGAGCCTTCAGGGCCCTCACCTACAACATGTCCCTCAGAGAGCCTTCAGGGCCCTCACCTGAGCCTTCAGGGCCCTCACCTGAGCCTTCAGGGCCCTCACCTACAACATGTCCCTCAGAGAGCCTTCAGGGCCCTCACCTGAGCCTTCAGGGCCCTCACCTGAGCCTTCAGGGCCCTCACCTACAACATGTCCCTCAGAGAGCCTTCAGGGCCCTCACCTACAACATGTCCCTCAGAGAGCCTTCAGGGCCCTCACCTGAGCCTTCAGGGCCCTCACCTGAGCCTTCAGGGCCCTCACCTACAACATGTCACTCAACGAGCCTTCAGGGCCCTCACCTGAGCCTTCAGGGCCCTCACCTACAACATGTCACTCAACGAGCCTTCAGGGCTCTCACCTACAACATGTCCCTCAGAGAGCCTTCAGGGCCCTCACCTACAACATGTCCCTCAGAGAGCCTTCAGGGCCCTCACCTACAACATGTCCCTCAGAGAGCCTTCAGGGCCCTCACCTGAGCCTTCAGGGCCCTCACCTGAGCCTTCAGGGCCCTCACCTACAACATGTCCCTCAGAGAGCCTTCAGGGCCCTCACCTGAGCCTTCAGGGCTCTCACCTGAGCCTTCAGGGCCCTCACCTGAGCCTTCAGGGCCCTCACCTGAGCCTTCAGGGCCCTCACCTGAGCCTTCAGGGCCCTCACCTGAGCCTTCAGGGCCCTCACCTACACGTCACTCAGAGAGCCTTGGAGCACGAATAGAAAGAGACCAAGAGAACTACAAACAGATGCAAAACACCAAATGACTACAAAGAGGCAAGAAATGAAATATATATAAATATTATATTTATAAATAAACCTTAAACAACTGCATAGAGACTACAGCGAGAATTCATTCACGACTATCCTCCAGGGGGCGCTGTGTAGGAGAGGTGGATAATTCATTCACGACTATCCTCCAGGGGGCGCTGTGTAGGAGAGGTGGAGAATTCATTCACGACTATCCTCCAGGGGGCGCTGTGTAGGAGAGGTGGAGAATTCATTCACGACTATCCTCCAGGGGGCGCTGTGTAGGAGAGGTGGAGAATTCATTCACGACTATCCTCCAGGGGGCGCTGTGTAGGAGAGGTGGAGAATTCATTCACGACTATCCTCCAGGGGGCGCTGTGTAGGAGAGGTGGATCATTCATTCACGACTATCCTCCAGGGGGCGCTGTGTAGGAGAGGTGGAGAATTCATTCACGACTATCCTCCAGGGGGCGCTGTGTAGGAGAGGTGGAGAATTCATTCACGACTATCCTCCAGGGGGCGTTGTGTAGGAGAGGTGGAGAATTCATTCACGACTATCCTCCAGGGGGCGCTGTGTAGGAGAGGTGGATCATTCATTCACGACTATCCTCCAGGGGGCGCTGTGTAGGAGAGGTGGAGAATTCATTCACGACTATCCTCCAGGGGGCGCTGTGTAGGACAGGTGGAGAATTCATTCACGACTATCCTCCAGGGGGCGCTGTGTAGGAGAGGTGGATAACTCATTCACGACTATCCTCCAGGGGGCGCTGTGTAGGAGAGGTGGAGAATTCATTCACGACTATCCTCCAGGGGGCGCTGTGTAGGAGAGGTGGATAATTCATTCACGACTATCCTCCAGGGGGCGCTGTGTAGGACAGGTGGAGAATTCATTCACGACTATCCTCCAGGGGGCGCTGTGTAGGAGAGGTGGATAATTCATTCACGACTATCCTCCAGGGGGCGCTGTGTAGGAGAGGTGGAGAATTCATTCACGACTATCCTCCAGGGGGCGCTGTGTAGGAGAGGTGGAGAATTCATTCACGACTATCCTCCAGGGGGCGCTGTGTAGGAGAGGTGGAGAATTCATTCACGACTATCCTCCAGGGGGCGCTGTGTAGGAGAGGTGGAGAATTCATTCACGACTATCCTCCAGGGGGCGCTGTGTAGGAGAGGTGGAGAATTCACTCACGACTATCCTCCAGGGGGCGCTGTGTAGGAGA